GGGGGGGTTGCCTCCGTGTCCGTAGTCTACACCCTTTCTGTCCACGTTAAAACCAAACGCTTCACGTGAACCATTCGACGGTTTCCTCCGGTGCAATTCAAAGCCCAAATGTCTGCATTTGAGCGACGCTCGTGTCTTTTCTTTGAGTCGGTCTCTTTTTTTCCCGTCGGTGTCGGCTCCTCCTGCTGCCCGACACAAGCTCCACAGCGAGCCGACTGACTCCCCGCCTCCAAACGCTCTACATCCCTCTCCACTGCATGCACAGCACACGCGCTCCACTGGGCGACGCGGGGTCTTCTGGGACTTGGAGTTTTACCCTCTAGTCGCCATTTATTAAATAGAATAAGGGCGATACAATATTGGGTTTATTAAAAGTGAAGTAAAGATAAACTGCAAATGATTATGTATTATTATCTTCCCATACGTATGTTTAGATAGTCACAAGTATTCAAATTTATTCAGTTTCTCTTTACGTTGGCATTTTCGTGAATTTAGTTCATGAATGTTTGTTTTTCATCAAAAAATACTTTCAAAATATTTTCATTTTCATTTTCAAAATGTATTTTACATTAATACATACTGCAAAAAAATTTGTTTCCAAAATACATGCACGGCAGAAGTCTTCTGTTGTACTGGCTGATATGACATGACATTTAGGCAGGTGTGCTCTCTACAGAGTCCAATTACACCCTATAGTAAAAACACAAGAAAACAAGGCAACTAATCTGTTTACTTCAGTTGTCTGTTTTTTAAAGACATAAAAAAAAAAAAATTCCAAATACAAAACGTAGGATACACATTTTTCAACAAACGGCACTGACTGTTTGATGTGTTTTAATATTTTTTATTGCTGTTTTTTTTGTTTGCCCATTTTACCCAGGTCTCCCCGTAGAGCAGCATCCACACGGAGTAGTTTATCTTGGTGAAATGAAGTAAATCGATCGAACTGACGATGAGTCTCATAACATTTCTCTGTCCTTGTCCCTCCTTATTCTCAAAGAACATATAAAATCCTGCCATGAAAACAAATTTATTAAAAGAAGCATCAAAACAACTTCTACAGACTTTGAAAAAAAGACAAGAAATATAAAGTATAAGGATGAAATCCCAACCATGAGTAGTATGTGACATGGTGGCTCAAATATGTGGTTTGTTTTTCACACACACACACACACACACACACACACACACACACACACACACACACACACACAGGCATATTTTAAGATTTACCACACACACACTCACTCATTGTAACTGCCAGTATAATTCGGCATAAGATGCAATAGTTTCTTCTTACAGAACGTGATGTACAAGTTGTTGCCGCCACGTTTTCCTTCTGCCCGAGGCTTTTCATTTCGGGACATCCTGTGCATTTGCAACATCTGGCCGTGGCTGTTGATGAATGGGCTCAAACAGCAGCAGAGATTGATAATGCAGCAAAGGACAGCCGAGCAAGAGCCTCGACTCTTAATCAATAATATCTTGTAGCCAACAGAATGGTGGCTCGCATAAAGTTATCATTTAAACATTGCCACAGGTAGCATGCACTGCATACAGGAGCAGCATTTACTGCTGATGAATCCCCTTATTCATACTTAGGTATGTATGTTTCTGGATATGATGGAAAATAATGAATTAAGTATTAATTGGGAGTAAAAACATTTCCAGGTTGTTCTCTCCACGGGCCAACCATTAACTGTGTTTCAAGTCCTCGCAGCTGACGAGCCAGATGTTGTCATAGTTCAACGTAAGTGAGCAGCAGACGGCTGTGTGTTTGGGAATTATATTTAGGCAAGGCAAAGTTTATTTGTATAGCACATTTCAACAACAAGGTAATTCAAAGTGCTTCACATAAAACCATTAAAAGCATCAAAACATAAGGCAAAAGAAAAGGAGATTTAAAAACAATTAAGAACATTCATTGAAACAATAAAAACAGTGTAAGAAATAAAATACAGTTGTAAAATGCAGAAATGCAGGAAATTGATTAATATATTAATTGAATCTGGTTCAATTAAAGGCAGCAGCAAACAGAAAAGTCTTCAATCTTGATTTAAAGGAGCCGAGGGTCTCAGCAGAGCTGCAGCTTTCTGGGACTTTGTTCCAGATATGTGGAGCAGAAAAACTGAACGCTGCTTCTCCATGTTTAGTTCTGACTCTGGGAACAGAAAGTAGACCAGTCCCAGACGACCTAAGGGGTCGGGATGGTTCATAAGGTAGCAGCAGATCAGAGATGTATTTTGGCCCTAAACCATTCAGTGCTTTATAAACCAACAGCAGGATTTTAAAGTCAATTCTTTGTTTGACAGGAAGCCAGTGCAAAGACCTCAGAACTGGAGTGATGTGATCCACCCTCCTGGTCTTAGTGAGGACTCGAGCTGCAGCGTTCTGAATCAGCTGCAGCTTTCTGACTGACCTTTTACAGAGACTTTAATTTAGACGATAAATTAAGGAACCTTTCCACTATTTTGCAGTCTGAATATGAAGGCTGATAATATATGTTTCAGTTGGCAATGTTAATAGACTGGTTCGGATTTATTCTGAAATGAGAAATAAAAGCAAAAACAGAAGCTCATGTCCTTTTTCTTTCTGGTTGTGTTTCATAAGAACCCGACCTGAAACAAAAACAGCTTGTTTTGTTTTTTTGATTCAAGGTAAATAACACTTTGACCTATGCTTTGCTGTGTTTATTAAATGAATACTTCACCCACAAAATGAACATTAGTTCACTCACATTGTGTTACCTTGAATTATTGAAGAAAACCTTGTTTTTCTTGCAGGTCTCTGGTGAATAAAATGAAGAAAAGTCTTGATGAAGTGAATTAAATGGGTGCTGCGTTTAACAACAGCAAAACTGTTTCTCAACATCCCTTTACAAGCTCTCAGTCAACTCATATATATATATATATATATATATATATATATATATATATATATATATGCGTTAAACATGACCCCCATTTACTTCAATTCATCAAGACTTCACCCTGTGGAAGAAAAACAACACTTTCCTCAAGAATTCAAGGTAACGCAGGATGAGTAATTGATATACAAATGGTCATAGTGCGGGTGAAGTATTACTTTCTGCTGCAGCACAAAATGTAATTTGTTACATAAGCAACTTTAGAAATGAAATAGTGCAAGTCGTTGCAGAAATGTGAGATTTTTTCCCCCTCTTACCCTCCAGCAGGGATGCACATGGGGCTTACAGGTTGATGTGTTTTGATCTAACGGGAGGCTGCTGATCTTACAACTTATTTATCACTCCCCGAGGAAGGACTTCTGGGACTTTCTCTTTGAGGTGCAGCTGCAGTGGGTTCTTATAACTGACAGTGTTGCCGACTGATGCTGTCGGTGCTTACATGAAGATAACCCACTCTTGTGTTGAAGTCGGTTTCCACTTCAAACAGTGTTTCCCGTAGTGCTGCCCTCCGTGTTTGGCTTTTATTCAGGCTAACATTAAGGGTCATAGTTAGGCGATGCAGAGATGATTTGGTTAGGGTTAATGTGAGGCTCGACACAAATTCATTTGGAAACAGAGTGTGACTCAAAACCTGACAAAGACAAAAGAAGTAATCCCATAGAGTACAAGCTGGTAGTGACTGCAGCAGTGCTGCACTTTTCATGGTTGTGTTTAGGTACTCACAACACTTAAAGTTAACAATTTGGTTACGGCTAAGGAAAGATCACGGTTCTGGTTTAATCCTGAAAAATTTACATTTGACCAAAACCGGCAGTGTTTTTCAGCTTAAAAGTAACCACAGTGTTGATGCAAAGCCTGGTCTCTGGTGTCAAAGTAGACCCAACATCCACCTCGACCAACTCGCTGTGACTCTGGTCAAACATGCAGCACTTTTACAGTCATTTAGCAGACGCTTTTATCCAAAGCGACTTACAATAAGTGTATTCAACATCGGTTTTCGAGAGAACTAGTCACCAGAAGTCATAAGTGCATCTCCTTTCTTCAAACAAGCATCTAAGAGCATAAACCAGAGCCAACGTACAGTGCAGAAACAAACGAATGCAATAAGTGCCACAAATTAATATGAATTCAATAAGTGCAATAAGCTAGTATACTAGTATACTAGTATACACTTCATTCATTCAAAACAAATGTTGCTTTTTAACAGGTCATACATGTAACTTCCAGGAGACAGGGTTGCACAGCCTGCCTCACTGACAGAGTGAGCAAATTGTCAAACTGTGATGACGTTGTTTGATGAAGCAGAATGACTGTGCATTGACTCAGTGAGAAGTGTGACTGGGATTTACGCAACTCACCAGCAGGTCAGGGTTGGGTTTGCAGAAGGAAAAGATGCGGAGGACTCTTTGTGTGGTATCAAGATAACACAGAATCCAAGTGTTTAAAGCCTGCGACAGTTATTTATTATGACCGACAGATGCAGCACGGCTGGAATCCCAACCAGGCAGCTAGGGGCCCCTCTTTGTCGCGAGTTATTTTAGGTTATTATTGTGCTCACATGGTGCACATTCCTAAATATAGGGACAGCAGGCGCCCCAACAATTTAATCGAGCCATAATATGCATGCACACGAGTACAGTGCACGTTGTCACAAAAACAGTTCATTTTAAAATGCTCCTTCCTTTAAGTTGGCCAAAAAATGCATTTGCCAATTTCCATCTCTAAAAGATGTGGACACAAGTTCGAGAGAAACTGCAAGCCAAACACTATCTGAAAACCCAACAGCAATACACATCAGTTTGATAAAGTCCCTGTCAACACATTCATTACTGAGTTCCACAAACACATTCAAAGCCCCCTATTGGAATATTTCAGGACAATTATAATGATCTTTTTGTTAGCTTTACCGAAGAGCAAAATAAGCACTCCTCCGAGATAATAACAGTGTTGGAAAAACACACTATTAGA